TAACCCAGTTTGGTTTCCGTTCTAGTAAGGAATGCAATGGTATCATATATGTCATCAAACAAACAAGCAAGGAATTGCTTATCTCCCTAATAGGAAATAGTATACCAACCTTGTGGAACTCACAGCAGCAGACGGCCACATCAGTCATCCATTAGAAACAAGCCTTCCAAGCTCCGAATCTACTGAATGCATCGATCTAATAGAGAAACTGTATGAAGGAGACACTGTGGAATAATGGATTGAGGAATCGGAGAGCCGAGTTCGTATTCCAGTCGAATCTATTACATTCACTTACGTGCTAATACCCTTGGGAAAGGTGTGAATCCTCTTCTTCTCCTGCCAGCTATGGGTAAATAGCAGGACAGACCGGGTTCTATAGACTTGGATGACAACTGGTCTATCGCAGAAAGAAATGTCAACCTACTGTAGAGAAAAAAGTCTACCTCGTCAATCATGTATCGAAAGATACATAATCGCCTAAGCGTGTATTACGCATTGCACATAACTGACTGACTGAATTTCCAGTCGAATCCATTGCATTCACTTACGTGCTAATACCCTTAGAAAAGGTATGACTCTTCTTCTTCTCCACCCCCCCAGCTATTGGTAAATAGCAGGACAGACAGGATTCTATAGCCTTGGATGGCAACTAGTCTACCACAAAAAGAAATGGCAACCTACTGCGGGGAAAAATTTGCCTCGTCAGTCATGTATCGAAAGATACATGATCGCCTAAGCGTGTATCACGCATGGTACATGACGGACTGACAAGCTAATACCATCGGGAAAGGTATGAATCCTCTTCTTCCCCCAGCTATGGGTAAATAGCAGGACAGGCCGGGTTCTATAGCTTTGGATGGCAACTGGTCTACCGCATGAAGAAATAGCAACCTACTGCGGGGGAAAAAGTCTGCCTCATTAGTTATGTATCGAAAGATACATAATCGTCTAAGTGTTTATCATGCATAGTACATAACTGACTGATGAATCTACAAAATCTTGCATATCTTGTGAGGATACCAATATGGAAGTATTTCAAACTTCATCAGGAGTACGACAAAGAGGAAAGTCTGTTTAGTCTTTTTCTATATTATACGCTGCCTATTTACAAGCATAGATGTGAAAAGACGGGCACTGACTATTTACACATTCCATACCACATCTAAAAATGAATCTACAAATACAAGACAACAATCCTGCTTTCCCACCCAAGACCAATATACTAATGATGAGTCTATGCTGATGACATTGGTATTAATAGAGAGTTATGCTGATGGCATAGATATTCATAGAGTTATGCTGATGACATAGGTATTCGTTATTGGGAAAAGAAGGAAATTGAACGAAAAAATCAACATTCTCTTCGAACTATTCCAATAAATAGGACTCAAGATAAAACTTTCCAAAACAGAACCTATGATCTGAAATTGGATTGAAAGCAGTGATAACACCTCAGAAAAATTCAGAATGTGGAATTAGTAAATACTAAACATTTCAGATACCTTAGTGTATCGATTAGTTATAAAAAAACTTATCAAAGGAGAAAAAGAAATTGAACATAGAATAGGCTGCACCAAAGCTGGAGAAAGATGAATTCATATCTTCTCCGAGGGTATTAGTGCGAAGTGCGCGAAACAAATTCGGCCAGTCAGTACACTGGTTACAATTTTCGTACAGATAAACTTTGTACCACCAACACATAAAAAAGAAAGTAGATACCAATAAACATGCAATTATCTTTTAAAAGTTATTCCAAGATATAAAATGTATCATATCTCTGGTTCCATTCTATTGTTTAATATGTAATTTGTAAAAGCTTTTAATTTTCTTTTAAACAATCTGAGAATAAGCTCAGTCATTCAGTCTTCTTATAAATGCGTTAAAGAATGCTGCTTTACAGTGATTATTGCATTTCGAAAGCTAAACAAAGTATTAATAAAAAGGGAAATTTCGTTAGAAACAAAGAATAGTGCTGAACTGTTATGTAGTATCAGTTCTCTTTTATGGTAGTAAATCCTGGGTCATTTTCCTCACAGATGAAGAGGAGACTCGAAGCACCAGAAACAAAGAGTGTGTTATGTAATATTAGTCCTCCAATATAGTAGTAAACTCTGGGTAATCTCCTCACCGATGAAGAGGAGACTCGAAGCAGCAGAAATAAAGAGTGTGTTATGTAATATCAGTCCTTCAATATGGTAGTAAACTCTGGGCAATCTCCTCACAGATGAAGAGGAGACTTAAGCAGCAGAAACAAAGAATATGTTATGTAATATCAGTCTTCCAATATGGCAGTATACTCTGGGCAATCTCCTCACAGATGAAGAGGAGACTCGAAGCACCAGAAACAAAGTGTGTGTTATGTAATATCAGTCCTCCAATATGGCAGTAAACTCAGGGCAATCTCCTCGCAGATAAAGAGGAGACTTGAGGCAACAAAACAGAGTGCTGAACTGTTATGTAATACCAATCCTTCAATATAGCAGTGAACGCTGGAGATGAAGAGGAGACTTGAAGTAACAGAAACAAAGAGTGCTGAACTGTTATGTAATATCAATCCTCCAATATGGCAGTGAACGCTGGACGATTTCCTCGCAAATGAGGAGGTGATGTGGTTCTACAAGAGAATGCTGAGAATACCATTGACGAAACATGTGAGAAACGAGAAAATTTTAAGTTTCTTTAGATTCTAAGTTTCCTTTTTGCTTCCATTTTCTCTAAAACCTCGTCCTTTCTCACATGTCGCTCCATGGTATCATTACCATCTTTCTGTAGAACCACATTTCTGTTGCTCCAAGTGTATCCTTCATTCTTGAGGAGATTTTCCAGCATTCACTGCCATGTCGGAGGACATATATCCCATAACAGTTCAGTACTCTTTTCTTTGTTTCTAACAAAGTTTTTCTCTCTCTTAATACTCTGCTTAGCTTTTAGATTGCATCTTTGGCCATCCCAATGCGTTTTGGGGTCTCAGTGTCGCACTTTACGTCCTCTGTCAGAACACTTCCCAAATTTTATCTGTATCCCCGATTTGAAATTTGCATTTTCGGCTCATCATTTTGATGACAACTTTGCATTTTGTCTTCTTGTAGTTTATATTTAATCCTTTCTTCTCGTTTTCCTTCGCTAACTTCCGCAGGCGCTCTTGTAGTTTCCTTTCTGTGTTTGCTATCAACATCGTGTCATATGTATATCCCATGATGTTAAAATTGTGCCCGCCAACAACAAATCCCGACAGGAGATCTAATTCTCTCGGAATTACCTCGCTGTATAGATTGAACAAGTCTGGTGAGAAGACAAATCCTTGTTTACTCTCCTTTCTATTTTTGTGTGCTGAAGTCATGTTCTATACGTATGCAAGCGATTTGCTGCCTCTATGGGTTCTGGATTATTCTAATATCTGTCGCAAATATGTTAAGGCGGATGAGGACTTCTAACAGATCTTTGTGTCGTTCTTTATCCAACCCCCTTGCGTAATCTATAAAGCGGAGATAGGGCACATGAAAGAAACATATATAAATTAGCAGACTCTGAAATAATAAGTAGAATACTTTTATATAGAAAAAAAATAAATTAAAAATATGCTAAGCTTTCGGCCATGTTCTTTTTTTTTTAATTCTCCAGACATACTGCTATTTTACATTGCCTATTAGTCACTATTAGTCACTCGCTAGTTAGTGTTTGTAAATCGAGTTGTTGAAGGCATGATGAATGGAAGAGAAAGAAAATTCTTTACTTTACTTAAATTCATCCACGATTGACTCCTCCGCCGTCCATTTATTTATTTATTTTTTTTTCTTTTTCTCTCCTTCGGTCTTTTCATTTGATGTTAACGACAGCCCACACGACCGACCGGGTGTTGCAAGCTTGTGGCGTGAAATAGGTACAATAGATAGCGGCTCGGAACGTGAGATCATAGGACACAGTTCGAATTCCTGTTGTTTTCGTTCCATTCGAATTCGTTACGCGCAAATACCAATTGTGAAAAGTATGAATCAATCTCTTCTCCACACCGCAGTTATGTGCAAGTAGAAGAACACGTTGACTTATAGCGTTGTTTGGCAGCGAGTCTAGGAAAAAGAAAACACAATCTAAACCAGCCTGGCTAGATGTGCTTCTTATAAGAGCTAACGGGCAATGGCAGCTAGGAAATCACTTGCAATTGTATTACCATCTAACATATAGCACACATTATACCAGCACAGGACGTGATGCTATGATGGACAAAGTGTACATTGCAGGTCCCAATTGAACACTTTAAACATTTTACTTGTTCAGGTTGGTGAGTAAAATTTTATAATTTACTAAACCCTCACCCGCTTTTCTCGGCGGGAGAATCCATTCATCCATATATATATATATATATATATATATATATATATATATATATATATATATATAAGGATCGTTTGTACTCATTATTATATTGCTCTGTTTTTACATCGAGCTCTCTTTGGATTAATGTCCCCATGGAATTATCCTTGCTAATTATCAATTGATATTATATATATATATATATATATATATATATATATATATATATATATATATATATATATATATATATATATATATATATATATATATATATATATATATATATATATGTATATATATTTGTTTGTGTGTATGTGTGTGTGTGTGTGGTATCTGAAAAGATCTTACATCGATCCATATACAAAATCTGAAGAAATATTTTGAAGGATTTATGGGTCGGGACGAAAACATTTCAGCAACTCTCGTATTCGGTTCAGTTGCTATTAAAAGAAAAAGAAAATCATTTATATATATTCCATTTTTTTGAGGGAAAAATATTGTTAAAATTTTATTTTTTTATTTTCATTGATTTTTTCCGTGTTTTGAGCTTCAGTAGCTGTATTTGATTTCGGAAAAATCGACAAAAACAAAGACTGAGAGAAAAAAAGAGAGAGAAAATGAAGAAAGAAGAAAAAGAACAGTGTGAGAATGAGAAGGAGAGAGTAAAGGGAAAGAGACAAAGAGAATTAAGTAAAGAAAAGAAATAGAGAAAATGAAAAAAGAAGAAAAAGAAGAGTGTGAGAATGAGAAAGAAAGAGTAAAGGGAAAGAAACAAAGAGAATTAAGTAAAGAAAAGAAATAGAGAAAATGAAAAAAGAAGAAAAAGAAGAGTGTGAGAATGAGAAAGAAAGAGTAAAGGGAAAGAAACAAAGAGAATTAAGTAAAAGAAAAGAAATAGAAAATGAAAAAAGAAGAAAAAGAAGAGTGTGAGAATGAGAAAGAAAGAGTAAAGGGAAAGAAACAAAGAGAATTAAGTAAAGAAAAAAGAGAGAAATGTAAAAAAAAGAACAGAGAAAAGATAAAAGAAAGAAAGAACGATAGCGAAGTAAAAAAAACGAGGTAAAAGCGAAAACAGAAAGAGACATAATAAAAAAAAAGAGAACAAAAAAGAAAATATATAAAGCATTTAAAAGAACAATAAATTTTAAGCAGAAAAAGACATACTGGAAAAAGAAAACATTAAGAAATAGATAAAAATGGAAAGATACAGAATAGTGAGAAGGGATAGAGGAGAAAAAGAAAGAGAGAAGAGGACAGAGAAAGAAAGAAAGAATATAGAAGAGTTTGAACATAGAAAGCTGTTGAGTAGAGAAGAAAATTGATGAATTGTTCTTTTTTTTTTTTCAAGTTGACCGGTTTCAGATTCTCGTGGTTTGTTCAGACAAATTGATCAGAACCAAAACAAACATATTGCCATAACAGGGTAAACATTTATTTTGAATTAAGACGGAAAGGCCATCAGAGTATAGCAAGTCATATAAAAAGAAGAGAAAAAAAAAAAAAGAAATTGCGAAAATAAAGGCCAGATTAAGAAAAAGAGAACAGCAGAATAAAAAGAAAGCAAAAAGAAATGAAAAAGAAGAAAAAGCAGAATTCTAAAGGAAATAAAAGGAAATTGAAAAAAAAAACAACAAAAAACAGAAAGAAAGAAAAGCGAAATTAAAAAGAAAGAAGCGCAGAATTTCAAAGCAAAAATAAAAAGGAAAGAAAAACAGAATGAAAAAAGTAAAAAAGGAGAAAGATAGAAAGAAATGAAAAACGTAAAAAAAAGGAAAAGCAAAATCAAAAAAGAAGAAAAAAAAACAGAATTAGAAAACAGTGAGAGTTTACTGACATATAAATTTACAGATACAGACACACACACACACGCGCGCGTGTGTATATGTTTCCATGTATGTGTATATATATATATATATATATATATATGTATGTACGAATCTCATGGATTTATTTTGTTCAGGCATAGTTATTTTCAAATTTTATTAGCTGGTAAACTTTTTCAATTTAACTACAGCGTTTTTAAGTGGCACTGTTGCCATGTTAACGATTTAACATCAGATTTTTTTCCTGGCGGGAAAGTATGAACCGTTAAAAAGAAATTTAAAAAAATTATATATATATATATATATATATATATATATATATGTATTTATATGTATATATATTATATTTATATATATATATATATATATATATATATATATATATCAATCTCTAAAATTCTATCTATCTCTATCTATCTATCTATCTATCTATCTATCTGTGTGTGTGTGTGTGTGTGTGTGTGTGTGTGTGTGTGTGTGTGTGTGTGTGTGTTAAATTTCTCAGAATAAATCTGTAGGAAAAACAATTTGAATAAAATAGACCATCGGAAAATAGTACTGAGTCCTTACACAGGAGCGTCTTTTTTTTTTTAAAACTTTTTGATTTTTTATGTAACTACACATCATTTCGCTTTTGTTTATATATATATATATAATATATATATATATGTATATATATATATATATATATATATATATATATATATATAGACGTATCAGTCTCTCTATATATATATATATACGTCTATATATATATATATATATATATATATATATATATATATATATATATATATATTCTGTCTATTTATGCAGCAAATGTTCTTTAAAGGCAAATACTATTAAAACATATCAAACAGTTTGTGTCAATTAATTTTAATGTTTGACTTTTTCAAGTTACGAATAATCCTCCAAAACTAATTAAAAAACGGTGATAATTTTAAACTTTAAAACAACAATGGTTTGATCGAAATGTAATAGGAATACAAAGAAAATATTACATTTAGTTTTCATTGTTTTGAACGAGGTGAATGTATCAATATTACTTGTAATATTATACTTGTTGTATGTAATAATGCAAGCTAATCTCTATTGCAGACGCTTGCTCAGGCGCATCTGTGTTTATTTAACACCCACAGAGCCCACCTGAAGTTTGTACTGCAACTATGCTGAGCAGACCTTAGTTACTTTTTCCGGGAAAGAGCGTGTTATCTAGCGTGATCAACAATTTGAACAAGGCCAGCACACTCAAGCCCTCAGCCACAATGACTTGCGACTTTATGTTAGCACAGCTATCGACAGCCGCCAAGGGTTCCCTCTATCCATTTTCACTCACAAGGCTTGGGTCAACCCGTGGTATGAATTTCAGTCACTTTCCAAAGTTTTTCCTCGCTGGGATCAACTCCTCCAGTCCGGTAACATCAGGAAGTCTCCTTCCTGACAAATCGATTCGAACCCGGGTCCCATGGTCAAAATGCGAACATTCTAATCACTCGGCCACGTTGCTCATATTATTAAGAAAACAAGCAAAGAAACAAGTGTAACTATAAATGACTAATTTAAGTAATTATTAGGTTGGTGCAAAAATAATGACGTAATAATGTCGTTTTTTGACGTACTTTTCTACGTCAAAAAAACGACATTCTTACGTCATTATTTTTGCACCAACCTAATACAAACATAAAATATTAGAATTTCTCGGATAATTTCAGGGCTAGCTTCAAACAATAGAGCATTAATCTAATAGAACTATCATATGCCTATATCTACCTATATCCAAGACGGATATTTGAATGAGGGAGGGATTCAGTTAATTTTATATTATTTAGCCAAATATTTTGGACCATCCTGTATATGTTTTTGTTCGGAGTGGGCACTGGCGAAAAACCTGAAAAGTAACATTGCCTATTGCCTAAGACATACATTGCAAATGAATGTTTCCAATCAACCACAGTCGCTTTTAGTAGGAAATTCTTTTTATAGGAGTACATAGGTGTCCTTATAGGTGTGCTTTATAGGTGTGCTTATAGGTGTGCTTTATAGGAATACATAGGTGTGCTTATTGTCCGGTTTTCCTCCCCAGACTTTTAAACAGGAGTAACGGTTTATCCTTTGTTTCCTTGTTTCCGGATTGCGTTTCCGTTCCTTCTAAAGTATTTCCTTGATTAAAAAGAAACTGATTAAAAAAAAAAGGGGGGGGGGTCTCTATAGCTTTGGTTGGAAGTTAATTCAGAAGATGAAAAATTCTAAATTCAAAACTGTGGAGAAAGCAATGGGAATCCACTCAACTATCTAAAGATTCCAGTCTACTCTTTTATTTAGTCCATAGGTAGGGAGAGAAGAAATAGGGTCATACCATATCTACGGGTATTTGTGCGAAAGTAAATGCAAACAAAAAATTCCTAAGTAACGCGTATTGTCGTAGTAGGGATGTTTTCAAACTAATATCAGTTTTATTGATAGTCCCACGCACACACACACACACACACATATATATATATATATATATATAGACATATAAGAACGCAGAACGTCTAGGGATGAGGTGCGTTACTTTTTTCCAATTTAGTGTTCGATTATCCACTATTAGTTCGATATATATATTTACGTACATACGTTGCATACACACAGACACAACACACACATATATATTAGGTTGGTGCAAAAATAATGACGTAATAATGTCGTTTTTGACGTATTTTTAACGTCAAAAAACGACATTGTTACATTATTTTGCACAATTTAACACACACACACACACACACACATATATATATATATATATATATATATATATATGTATGTGTCTGTATATATGTGTGTGTATATATATGTGTATGTGTGTATACTAGTCAGGAATTGCATACAATATATATATATATATATATGTGTGTGTGTGTGTCTGTGTGTGTGTGCAACGTATGTACGTAAATATATATATCGAACTGATAGTAGATGTACTAGTCTGGAACTTGAACCCGGCTTGACGGTTCTCCTTTCCGCAATGGTAATCGTTTGGCTAGCCACACATCTTTTGCCATGTGAGGTTAATTATCCAAACCGTTTCTTCATTATAGCTTTCTTCAAAATAAATGTGACAATCAATGCGCAATCACTTCATGTGGCTTTGGTCTCTAGCTCTTTCTAAAGTCTTCTTAAAAAGGAAAAATAAAACTGACATGTCCCTTAAGGATGTAGGTTATAATAACCCTCTACAGATCATTTTAATCAGTCAGTCAGTCAGTTATGTGCCATACGTGATACACGCTTAGGCGATCATGTATCTTTCGATACATGACTGACGACATAGATTTTTTCCCCGCAGTAGGTTGCCTTTTCTTTCTGCGGTAAACCTGTTGCCATCCAACACTATAGAACCCGGTCTTTCCTGCTATTTACC